CTCCTGGAGCTTCTTGGAGGGCTCCACCAGCTGGTGTTTCTCAAAAGCAGCAGTTTCAAAGTGAAGCTGGAGGTGTTTTTCACAATAAGAGGCCAAACAGTTCAGACAGGACTTGACAGCTTTCAGTTTCCTGACAGAGCAGACGTCACAGGACACATCTTCAGCTCCAGCATAGCACAGATCAGCTGGAGTATCCTTCAGTCCAGTCTTCTTCAGGTCCTCCACCAACTTTGCACACATGATGTTTTTCACCAGATTTGGCCTCGGTGTGAAGTCCTTGCTGCACTGAGGACAGGTGTAGAGTCTCCTCTGATCCTCTTCATCCCAGTAGGTTTTAATACATTTCATACAGTAGCTGTGTCCACAGGGAATCGTCACAGGATCCTTCAATAGATCCTGACAGATTGAGCAGGAGAAGGCCTCCAAGTCCAGTTTAATCTTTTTCTTAAACATTCTTGGACAAAGTGGAGAATTCTTCTTCGGAGAAAAACAACCTGATGAAAAAAGATCAAGAAAAACAAGGTTTATGATACGAAAAATATTGKGGAAAAATTATTTTCAGGCCTCACTATGGGATAAATCTTGTGCCAGTGTAGTATTTTCCTGCACAGAAATCATCATTTCTGATTAGATTTCACTCGTTCCTATGACAACGGCTCAGAGGAGGAGAAAACCCCAGCTTTGATTCACCCAGACTCCCTGACGACACAGAGGAGGAAGACCCCACCCCCACACACACACACTTTTGACCTCAAAGACTATTCCTAAGGATTTTGCAAGGAACTTCGTTTGTGGCTTGAATTAATCTCTCACACCTTTCCCACTAGACTTTGCGACGACGCCCCAGCAGCCATCTGATAGAATTTACATACTGATAAGTTCCTGTTGCTTCCTTCCCCCATAAGGAGTGTCTGTTCCTCTTCAAAGGTACCATAAATTCCTTTCACCAGACTCTTCAGCTTGACTGAGAACAAAGGAACCAGAATCTACCATTCTTGATTAAATAAAAAAGAGAGAAGAAGACTGAATGTTTTCATCCAACTGTCTGTTTTCATATATCTGAATCAAAGAAATGTGATTTACCTGTTTCTCTTTACAGAAAGGACAAAACCCATTGAAGCTCCACTATGTTCTCGTTTTTAATTAAGTATTTACACACTAAGAACTCAGTAGAATAACTGTGTGGTGTTAATTGTTTTGACGAAATGTTTTCCTGAAGATGTGTGTTTTATTCCATGATTTAATCCTTAGCAACTTAGAACTTGGGTGGCCCCCTGGCCGGGGTGGCTGCCGGTTTCCGGGGGATGGACGGCTGGGGGGGTGCACTACTTGGTCGTTGGCGGTGTGGTGGGGTGGTCATGGGTCATGGGTGTGGCTTCTCTGCAGCAGGGGACTGGCCGGGCGTCCTGGTGGGGCCCAGGCCGGGCCTTGGCTATCTGCTCCTCTCCACCTCAGAATGATTGGGTCTACCTCCTGGGTTCGGGTGTGTGCTGCCTCCAATAGGGGGTGGGTGCATGTCCTGGATCTGGTGGGGTATAGAGTGTGTATCGGGGGTATGAGTGGAATGTGGCGACCTTGTATGCCTTTGATTGAGTGGGGGTGAGGATGAGGGTGGGATGGTGCGATTGTGTATGTTTGGGTATTTGTCAGGCTGCGGTCTGGACTGCCCCTACTGCTGGTTTATCTGGGGGCCCGCTGCTACTCGGCACCCCGGTTGGGTGTCCGGCTGGCCGCCGGCGTGCTGGGGCTGGGCGCTGGGGTGTGTGCCAACCTGGCCTGGTGACTGCCTGCTGGGGCTCGGGGCCTCTGGCCCTGTCGGGCTTTGGCCTGGAGGGGGTGCGCCCTGGGGGCCCGGACCTCTGTGCCCTTTCCTGGATCTGCTCTGGTATGGATGGTGCCGGTGGGACCCATGAGTTTGTCGCTGCTGGCCCCGGGGGCTGTGTGTGTGGTCACTGGGGGGACTCTCCCACTTCTCCCCTATGGTCTGATCTGGGGGACGGGTGGGCGGATCTTCCCGTGTGGGTGCCCCTTGGGGCTCTGCGCTTGGGATCCCTCTCAGGCCCTTGGGCTCTGGTCTTCCCTATGTCTGCCTCGTGTCTTGGCGGTTGGGTCTCCGGTCCTCCACAGTCACTATTAAATATTCCATTGGAGAAATCTTGAATATACACGCATGTTCACAACTGCTCACAAACAGGTGTTCTGATCCGGGGGGTTCTGACTGGTCACTGAGTGTGTATATATAAGACTGTGTGTATATACTGACAATATTTATGAATGTAGGCATGTATGTATGTATATCTTTATATATGTATGGGTATGTGTATATATTTATATATGCCCTCCATGTATTTATCCATTTATTTTTCAGGTGAGCGGACAGATGTTGGGTGTGTGGTCCTGTGTTTTGTTGGTGTATATTTAATATACTTCTAATCGCTATTTCAATCTTTCTATTTTTCTAATTACTTCTCTCTCTATTTTTCTCTCTGTCTCTATTTTCTCTTCACTTAAAAAAAGTCACTGATGATGAAGAAATAAACTAAATAAACTAATATTTGGTTTCGTTTCTACTGAAGTGACACAAAAAAAAGAAACTTAGAACTTGAATAATTAACTGTGACAATTTTATTCCTGAGGCAAAACCCAGATGTCTCCTCTTCCCTTTTTAGGTAAATGCAAGATAAACTAAAACACACCCTTTTCTTTGTTTTCAAAGTAAAATTTACCTCCAATAGATTTGACTCGCTGAGACCTTTTTCCTGTATAAGGTGTAACATTTTTATTGGCCATCTAACAACTTAACTCCACCCCAAACAAAGGTTTTAAAAAGTCAGCGCACTCCCAAATTAGTTAGAGTAAGAGTTGGAAGATTTGAATATCAGCAGCAAAAGACTTCAGAAGTTTCAGCAGAGACCGGCCATGTCAGCCCCTCCCAATGGCTGGCCAGGTTACGGCTCTGCATCTCCTGCTGGTCTGGACACACAGCCACCGTTTCACGTCGGCTCAACACCTGAGCTTGATTTTAATAGAAGCCCATAAGCTAATTGTAACTCATGCGTCGTTTTAGTCCGTTTTTCTCTACGAAGTCGAGATCAAATTAACAAGCCTTGCAGCAGCCTAAGGAGAACCAGACTACATCATCACCAGAGAATTACCCGTTCTCTGACCACCAGGACCAGTCGGGTACAGGCAAACCCTATGGCCTGTCATCCAGCTTGTATGAAGAGCCTACCTGGGAAACGACCCCCAGAGATGACCTTCAGTCGCTGACTGCCCTCCTGGTACCCACATGGCAGAAACAAAAGGGTAAAAGTGAACATTTGTTCTGGTGACAAAAAGGTGCTCAGGCTTAATTTGATTTTTATCTTTGTATGAGATTTGATAATCTAAAGATTTCTCGCCCTCATTTAACTAGGATCCCTTAGTTAAATTCTCAGCTAAAGCAAATCCCCCTCACCTCACTCCAGCCTCAAAACCCCATTTAGTGTTTATTTTGTTGTTTATTTGTTTTGTTATTCACTCATAAATATCTCCGTATTCTTCTGGTTCAGAATGTCATCATTTCATACTCACCATAGCTGTAAATACATTTAATCTGTGAATAAATGACCCGTGGAGAACTGGTCAACATGAGACGTCTAATTTCCTGTGTCTTGATAAGGTGTTATTGATTCTTCTAAGAAAATAACTCATTCTTAATTTGGGTAATAAATTAATAGAGACTGAATGATAATAAAGCTAACAGTTTTCTCTTCTCTTTCCTGTGTAATAATACTAAATAAAAGGGAAGTGGTGCTCTACGAGGTAGGACAATTTATGAATTTTATAATCCATAAATTGTCACATTAATATACCCAAATTACCGCTACACCAGCAGGAATTGAATTTGAATTGCTCAGATTGAATCTGAATGAATTGGTTTGAAAATTAATTTCACTAAATTAAAACTGAATTTAATGATTTGAAACAGAATTTAAAGTTTTGAATTTGAATTAATTTGTTTTGAAACTGTATTTTGGTTTATTAAAAATTCAGTTTGACTACTTTCACTTTCAGTTCCATAATTCAGATTTTTGTGTCACATCCTGGTCCTTGAGAAAGCCAGGCAGAGTAATCAAACACAGATCCACAGATTTATGTTTCACTTTGGTGAAGTTTCCCTTCACCAAACAAGCTGCTCCATCAACAGAGTTGATGCAATCCACCGCAAAAGTGACAAAAGCAGTTATTTTATTGCAGTGATCAATTTTACTTTAACAAGTATATTGGTCTGTAATTGTTGAATATACATTTCTCACCATTCTTAAAATGAAGAATTACCTTGGCTATTTTCTTGTCTGGAAATATTCCTGTTGAAAATGATCAATTGCATATGTAAACAGTTCAACACCTAATTCATTATTTCCTTTACAAACGTCATGTCCATGTCCACCCAGTCTTTTGATCTTTTGTTTGTAAGATTTTTAACAATACTCAGTATTTCTTCTTTGTCAGTTTCATTATGAAAAATGCTTTTGGTACAACCCATCACTGAATGGCTCACATTATCTACTTTTGGTATTTTCACTGCAAGACGGGCAAACATTTACAAAATAATAATTAAACCAGTTTACAATTTCATTCTGATCATGTATTTCATTTCCGTCTTTTACAAAATATTGTGAGATACCTGAATTTATTTTGATATTTTAGAACATTATTCATTAATCGCCATGTTTCTTTCATATTGCCATTATTGTTGTCTAATAAATCACTGTAATATTCTTTCTGATGCTTTCTTATAATCCATACCAACTTGATTTTATACTTTTTGTATCCGTCTTCTGCTTCTTTTGTTCTTGACTTCAAAAAGCATGAATACAAGTTTTTTACAAGCATTTCTCAAGTCTTTAATCATCCATGGTTTGTCAACACTATTTCTTTGTATAATTTTTTTGCACACAAGTTTTTTATACAGATCTTCTAAAATGTTCTTGAAAACCTATGTTTTGTTTACATCATCAACACACACATCTTTCCAATTTTGATTTATTAAAACATCTTTTAACTTGTCCAACACTTTTTTGATGTGTTTTTTATTTTTTTCTTGATCCCTTGATCTTTTTTGTGCGATGTTGATCATTTTTATAAATTGTGAAAACCGGCAAGTGATCACTTAAACCAATAATCAAAATGCCACCCATTACCAATGTGTTCGTTTTATTTGTGAAAATATTATCAATTATTGTAGCACTGCGAGTTGTGATTCTTGTAGGTTTTGATATCAGTAGATAGAGATTCAAACTATACAGCAGGTAAAATAAATATTGAACACGTCACAATTTTTCTCAGTAAATATATTACTAGAGGTGCTAATGACATGAAATTTTCACCAGATGTTGGTAACAACCCAAGTGATCCATACATACAAAGAACACATGCAGACACATTTGAGTGATACAGGAGAAATTGTGGCATTCACCAATGTTTTTGTATTCCAAGATTTTCTTCAGATACGAACAAAATTCACGTGTGATCCAGACCTGTCATATATTTAACAGGGCATAGCGGTGCGCGACTGCTCCTCTGAATAAATGAAAACAATGTAACACAGTTGTTTACACTGATATTACAAATGTTTGACCAAAGAAAAACCAGAGCAGGACTACAGAGAGATAAATATGATTTAGACTTTTATTTCTGTGACTGTAACGACCCACAGGAGACAACAACAGCAGCCATCATTTCATTAATCAGCTTTAAAGCAGATCCTTTAATTCCACAGCTGACGCTGCTAAAAATGACATTTTTGTGGATCTCCGAGAGCAAGACTTCAATCTCCGAATTCGTAAAGTTCTTCTTTTTTACTTTGCGATGTCATTCATGAATGGACACTTCTTTGTATGTGGGGCAGGAAACGTATATCCTTATATGGCGTTTTTGGGGTGGTAATTATGTAAATTACCTCTCTGCATGCACGAGCAGCTGGATACGAACAGGTGTAACTCATCATGTTTACGCTGCTCATTTACACACTTTTCCTGAAGATAGAAGAGTTTGTTGAATCTGACGTGACATGTTCGTACGAACCCTTTATACGAACAAAAGTAAGAGAAATTTAGGATAAGAATATGAACATGTTCTTGCATGAGGCCCATTGTGTTATAAAATATTGTGTAAAATTACTTTTTAAATGTCAGGTAAATTCTTTTATATTGTTTAGTCATTATATAGTATCTGCACCAACAAAGATCATAATAACAAACTGCTGTAAGCTTAATTTGCACACTCAAACATTTTAATCTGTTTTACTGTCAAATGCATCAGATCTTAATGAAATGTGTGAGGAAATAATCTAATAAATCACTCTACAGGCACATTTTGAGGCAGGACAGTTCACAAATGTAGGGGTCACCTCGAGTGAAGAAACAAGATTTTCTGCCTCTAAGCAGGCCTCGGACGGGCCTGACAAAAAAAAGTTAGACTAATGACTGCTGCTGTTCCAACCACGTTTATTTATCGCCCAGAACCAACGAGCAGGAAGGATCCTGCAGTGAGAAGAACTTCCACTGCCTTTTGTAAGGCTGCGGGCTTCTTCTTCTTCTTCTTCTTCTTCAGCTTTCAGAAGGTCGGGTACAACTTTCAGGAAGTTCCAGAACATCATGGATCCTGTAGAGACAGATCAAGTCTGTTAAAAACCACCATGCTCATGTCCTGATGTACAAAAAACATCAGATTCCTCATGCTGAGACTAATAGAAGTAAAACATGTTTTTAATAATAAAAAAGCGCTGACCAGTGTTGGTCATCTTAAAGCCAGGTAAGAAAAATAAAAATCAGCAATACCAGTAAGCATCTTGTACCAGCACCAAACACCAGCACATAAGTCCCTTAAATTTCATCATATTCAGAGGTGTCAAAAGTATTACCATTCATTACTTAAGTAGAAGTATAGATACTTCTACTTAAGTAAAGTAACAAAGTATTTACTTGGCACCTCCGATCATATTCATAGTCTTGGCATCTGCAGGAAACTTCAGAAAAATGCTACATTGCCCACATTAGCTTTAGCATGTGACAAAGTTTTACTGATGACTCTGATTTGAATTTTATGTTGACAGCCTCCCCTTCACCCAGCCAGCTCCACCAGATCACCACTCATCAGTCCCTCTGAAATACTGAAGATGAACATGAACACAATGACTGCAGTGTTACCTGTGATAGTTTAATAATATTGTTTAAGTTACTGCTCTGTGGTCATTTATTGATGCTCATATAAATGACCGCAGTCGTTCTAGTTAATATTTCTGAATTTTTGTTCTGTCTTGAAATAAAAATTCTAACCTGAACTTGACCCCATGATCAAATGCTTAACTAATAATATAACACAAATTTAAATGTACAGTGCAGCATTCCTTAATGTTTTAAATGTTATGATGTTAAATTTCTGTTGGTCAAACATTTTAACTCATCTCTGATTATTCCGGAGGACAGAAAATGACACATTTTGTTACCTTTGTGATGTAACAAGCTTCAGCAGGTCAGTCTGGTGTGGTTTAACTGAAAAATATCATAATTATTAATTTTCACAATAACATTTATCTTTAATGATAATATCCCCATCTGTGCTGTTGTCTCTGAAGAAGAATCTATAACTTGAACTAAATTAACCACGTCAGTCTCACAGAACTAAAGATAGTTCAGTAACCACTACTTAATTTATAAAATTATCAGCTTTCAGAATATAAAACTGTGCTGAATACTTTAAAAGCTGAACTCGACTGAAATAGTCCCCTTTAAACTCATCATTACTCGTCATGCTCACAACGAACTAGCTGAAGTTAAACATAACTAACTAGTTAACATGATTAATCAACTAAAACTGACTACAACATATGACTGTGGTACAGAAAAGTCAGATAATGCCGCACAATGGCAAAAAATGTATTTTTTTCAACTTACCGGAGAAAATACCTCAGAAACGCCAAGAATGAATTGTGCTCAATGGAGCCTCTCGCTCTGTTTGGAACTATCTGAGGCTCCATGAACCATGTGACTTCTGCATTCCATTCTTTCTATGGAAGTCAATGGGAGTGTCGCAACTCACTCTCTGTAGGGCTCTGGGGTCGGATTTATAAAACTGGCGTACGCACAATTTGAGCCCAGGGGTCAGATTTATAAAACTGGCGTACGCACAATTTGAGCCCAGAAACTTGCGTACCCCACTTTTCACGCCAAGGTTGTGATTTATAAAATCCAAACTTGACGTGAAAATGTGCGGTGCCTTCCGCCAGCTCTGACCCATGCGTACGCTCATTTTGGAGACGTCAAACTGCGACACAGATGGTGAAGTGA